TTTTTTTTAAATCAATACTTCTCATCCGTTAGATCTGGACACGTGGATGAATGTCATGCGTTCTGAGTTCTCTTCTAGACGCACCGTTCGCACTTGAACGCACTCCTATATATATATATATATATATATATATATATATATATATATATATAGAGAGAGAGAGAGAGAGAGAGAGAGGGCGAGAGGGAGAGAGAGTTGTAAGCTGGATCACTAACTTATTGTATAAGTACAAATTAAAGTATATGTTGTCATATTTACAAACAATTAATAGAATATTTATGCATTATAGTATTATAATTGAACACCCACTTATGTAAAATGACAAATAACTACTAGAAACATATATTGTGCATTTCATTGTTCAAGTCACTTTAGGATTTATAAATTGAATACGAAATATTCATCAAACCAAGTTCTCACTGGAGTTTCGAACTCAAAAGTTGATAATTATTAACAAACTAATTATCTTACTAGATTGAATTACCCAAATACCCTTTTACTGATCAATATGTCAGGATTTGTAAAATTTTCAGTTGTGACTATATGGATGGGGCAAGACAAATATTACCATTGAACATGTCAATATATTACATATTGATGAGTATATATATGACTATATAAAGATCAAAATTTATAAGGTGATCTTCTCTTTACTGGAGACACATATGCATCTATCATCGATCGATCTCCATATGTAATTTGAGAAGCTGTACGCGCTGCCGCCATGGCTCCATCTCATCATCATCATCAAGTTATCCTACGTCGTTTTCCCCATAGTTCGACGAGATTAATGAAGCTGCAGATCGACATGTTTCATGCAAAGCAGCACCAAAACGTTTGTGAGTAGCCGCACCAAAGATCCATTCACATTCAATAATCTACCCTGTTTAAATATCATTAGATTGTTTAAATATCATTAGGTTGTATTAGGCGTTATTGGTTCTTTGTGTTTCAGTAGGTTGAGAAAGTATATGAACAGATCTGAGGCTTGATCTCATGAGAGTCACTACATGCCATCTAGCCAAAAAGTCGAGAAACTACCCTTTTCTTTTTAACTTAATTAGTAATGTAATTAAACACATTTTCTTTCCATATTTCAATCAATTATGTCATATAACATTGTAAACTTACTATTTAATTTAACGGATCACACTTTATACAAACATTATTGAAATTGAAGCTCCAACAGAAAGAAGAAAACATTATTTGTTATTATTAAATGAGATACATCATACATGCATCATGCATGCATATAAAGGTTGCTAGCCCATACAAAACGTATCTCAATGCTATATTGTTAAGGTTACAATATTGTCTAAGTTCAATTGACAGTCCCTTCAATGTAAAGCCATTGGCCGATGAAGAGGGCAGTGCAGTAGAGGTTTGGGTTTATGGCATTGAAATCTTTAGGAGTTTGGTTGGAAAAAAAGGAATTAAGGGAGAAAGAAATTGTAATTCGGTGGAAAAAGTATAAGGTAAAAATAAAGTACGGAGTATGAATAAAAATTACATTGTTGGTAGGGGTAAATAAAATTATTTGGAATAGAAATGGAAGAAATAATATAAAGATTAAAATGTCCTTTTGTAATAATATTAATAATAATATCAAATGCAAATAGCCAACTACCATGTAGTGTGATAGCATCCCAGTTACCCATCCAAATGGATGGTCATAAATTTGAACTCAGGTGGTGGGGATTTAGATTCTTTGTGCTGAAAATGTTTGAGAAAGTATAGAACAGATACTACCTTGTAAAGAATCACAAGTATTTCAAAAAAAAAAAATTATCCAAATGCAAATATATCATTTTTTTTTTCTTTTCTTTGTAGGACATCGGGGACATATGAATAGCAATATATTGAATTGAGGAAATTGTAATTCCATTAAACGCAATTCTATCTAACCAAGTAACGTAATTTATTATTTCATTGAATTGCAGCATTGTCATTGAATTGCAAGTTATGCCACCCAAATAATGTAGTGCTTACATTAAACGTCTTGGCAATGTCGAAGCACGTGTCTCCTTCCTTCACTCTCACCACCGTGAAACATGATGTTGTTGTCCCATTAATCACTATATATGTTTTGAGGACCCCAAAAAAAAAAAAAAAAAAAAAAAACAATATAATGAGTGAGATTGACTTGGGAGGCTCAAATTTTGAGATCGTGAGTCTTAATAACTGAAACGAGTCAAATATAATAACAATAAAAAAAGATCATAATTGAATTGTAAATATAATTAATACTTTAAATTTTATATATAATACTTTATATTATAACTATAGTATACGTAAAATTGTAGTAGACAATTTTGCAAAAAATAAAGTAATAACATAATAGAATTGTAGATATCATTAATATTTTAAATTTTATTTTATATCATAACTATAGTATTTTATAACAAAATTGTACGTAATAAATAATTTGCATGAAATAAAGTAATAAAATAACATAATTGTAGATATAATCAATACTTTAAACCCAATGTATAATATTTTATAAATAAATGTAATATACATTTTACAAGCTATAAAGTAATAACATAACATATTGCAAATATCATCATTATTTTAAGTTTTATATATATATATATATATATATATATATATATATATATATATATATTACTTTATAGCATAAATCATAAATGTAGTACTTTATCGAAAAACTATAATAGACAATTTATAGGAACTTAAGTTTCATTGAATAGTAGAATTGCATATATAATTAATACTTTAAATCTTATATGTAATACTTTATAGTATAAATGTTATATTTTATAACAAAACTGTAATAAACAGTTTGTAAGAAATAAAATTACTAAACCCATATACCATAAAACCCAAAATTCTCTTGACCCTACTCGTCTCATAGATTATACATCAGCAGTTATACCATGGACTTGGGTCCACCTTGCATGGTGGATCCAGGTCCAAAATACAAAATTTACATACTGAATGTTCACAATTCAAATTGTGAATATCCAGTAATTGTGAAGATTAAATATGTAAATTGTGTATTTTTATATTCGAATCCACCTGCAAGGTAGACTCGGGTCCACTGAATAATTTGTCATTATACATGAGTTGTTATACCATGGACCATGGTCCACCTTGCAAGGTTGTTCCTGGTTCTAAACGACGTATAAATTGTGTATTTTTAATATTGAAATTGCGAACTTCTAAAATATAAATTGTGTTTTTAAGTCAAAGCACATAATACAATACAAGATAATCAATTACATATATATTAATATTATGTGTTTGTAATATATTTTTTTTTTTTGAAAATATGTGTTTGTAATATATAAATTGTAAATTTTTTAAAAATAAACTGTGAACATTTAGATGCAAATTCACCTTATAAGGTGGATTCAAGTCCACGGAATACTTTGCGGCACCATGTCACTAGTCATTTTGATTCTCGTTTTTAGGCTTTTCAAAAAAGAAGTTGCAAATATCACGCCCAACTTTATAAAAATATTAAAATTTCAAAAAAGAAGTTGCAAATATCACGCCCAACTTTATAAAAATATTAAAATTTCACCCTTCTACCAAGCCAATCTAGCTTTTAGCTGGCTAAACATGGTTACGTTTTATGTATGTGTGTATATATATATATATATATATATATATATATATGAACATCTAAGTAATATCATTTCTTTCTTTTAAATCTAATGGCACTAGATCGAGGGTTCGTATGAAGGATTGAACTTATAATATTTTTGTAAAATTGAAAAAAAAAAAAAAAAAAAAAAAAAAAAAAAAAAAAAAAAAAGACTTTTGAAAGTATATAACGACTACCTAGTACTACATATATAATTAATAGAGTTAATTCTATTTCTACATAATTAATAGAGTTAATTCTATTTTTTGTCCTAGATTTATAGTTGGCATTTAACTTTTAGTCATTTTTTTTCAAACCATCTTTCTTTGGTCCTAGTATGATAGTGGCATGTTTTTTATCCTCCATCAATAAAACCATTTAAATTTCGTAAAATATAAGGGCATTTAGGTCTTCAATTATGAATTTTTTAAAAAAAATAAAAAATAAAAAAGATATTGGGTTAACCTACTTTTTATAAAAATGATTGAAATGACCTTGTGTTTAACGTTATTTCAATGATTTTGTTGACGGGGGACCAAAAATGGTGATGCCACAATAATACTAGAACAGAAAATGAAATTAACAGGGAGGACTAAAAGTGGATTGTCAAATATAAATTAAATCTAGGACCAAAAATGGAACTAACTCTAATTAATATACCTCTAATGAAGGGGTTGGTTTCAGCCAAGGCAAAGACGACAAGTAAGAATAAGGAAGCTATGATTTGAAACATGGAAGCTCTGCTGAATCCTTTGGCCATCTTCAACTTTGGATTTGATGATAACCACAACTGGCAGCTGCTTAGCTTGTAATATACAGTTACATGCAGTTAGAAGAATATAATTAAGGAAACATAGGCATGTTTTGTGGCGATTAAATCGAGTACAGGTGCAGCTTAATTGCAGGCCATGGAGTTGAAAAGGATTGGCGGATTATCCAAAGAGAATGACATGGAATATCATGTGAATTTTCATGGAATATATTATATATATATATATATATATATATATATATATATATATATATATATATATATATATATATATATATATAAAAGATATGATGGTTAATGTGCGACGAGTCCTCCAGATGAAAGATAAGATGAGATATGAACTATTGATCAAATTTATATTAACGTCTCAAATCAATGAACTTTAAAAAAAAAAAGAAAAAAAGAAAAGTGTTTCCTATAAACTGGTTCATTCTCCTCATACGATTGTTCAAGTGATGCACGTTAATGCACCTTAAGTAATGTTGAATTGGTGCACCTTAAGTGTTAAAATGACGCACATTAAGTGTTAAAACTTAAAATGACGCACCTTAAGTGTTAAAACTTAAAATGGCGCACCTTAAGTGTTAAAATGCGCATCTTCAGTGTCAAAATGACGCACTTAAGTCTTAAAATGATGCACCTTAAGTGTTAAAATGGCGCACCTTCAATGTTAAAAATGATATGATGCACCTTAAATGTTAAAATGACGCACATTTAGTGTTAAAAATGACGCATCTTAAGTGTTAAAAGTGACGTACCTTAAGTGTTGAAATGACGCACCTTAAGTGTTAAAATGGCGCACCTTCAATGTTAAAAATAACGCACTTTAAGTCTTAAAATGATGCACCTTAAGTGTTGAAATGACGCACCTTAAGTGTTAAAATGGCGCACCTTCAGTGTTAAAACTTAAAATGCCGCACCTTAAGTGTTAAAACTTAAAATGGCGCACCTTAAGTGTTAAAATGCGCATCTTCAGTGTTAAAATGACGAACCTTAAGTCTTAAAATGATGCACCTTAATTGTTGAAATGACGCACCTTAAGTGTTAAAATGGCGTACCTTCAGTGTTAAAAATGATGCACCCTAAGTGTTAAAATGGCGCACCTTCAGTGTTAAAAATGACGCACCTTAAGTGTTAAAAATGACGTACCTTAAGTCTTAAAATGATGCACCTTAAGTGTTGAAATGATGCACCTTAAGTGTTAAAATGGCGCACCTTTAGTGTTAAAAATAACGCACCTTAAGTCTTAAAATGATGCACCTTAAGTGTTGAAATGATGCACCTTAAGTGTTAAAATGGCGCACCTTCAGTGTTAAAAATAACGCACCTTAAGTTTTAAAATGATGCACCTTAAGTGTTGAAATGACGCACCTTAAGTGTTAAAATGACGAATTTTAACCTTTATAATTACGCACATTAAGCTTTCGAGTGTAAAATTGACGCACATTAAGTGTTAAAACGACGCACCTTAAGCTTTGAAAATACGCAAAATGACCATACTGTCACACATTAATCTTTCAACAATATGCAAAATTACCATAATGCCATCACATTTTTTTTTAATTTATCTTCATTCTGGATTGTTGACCTTTTGTCCCGTGAGAACCTACAGTATACAATGCACATTATAACTTTCTTGGAATAGTTTTTTTGTGCATTATATAAACAATTGTGTGCATTCATGTTAGTTCACAAGTTCTCACAGAAAGATTGAGGAATTTAAAGCTCGAAACTAACTTATTGTATAACTACAAAGTATATGTTGTCATATTTACAAACAATTAATAGAATATTTATGCATTATTGCATTATAGTATTATATATTGAACACCCACTTATGTAAAATGACAAACAACTACTTGAAACATATTGTGCATTTCATTATTCAAGTCACTTAGGGTTTATATATTGAATACGAAATATTCATCAAACCAAGTTCTGACCAGAGTTTTGAACTCAAAAATTGATAATTATTATCAAATTAATTACTCTACCAACTTGATTGAATTACCCCAAATACCCTTTTACCGATCATCAATATGTCTTGGTGGGGATTTGTAAAATTTTCAGTTGTGACTATATGGATGGGGCAACACAAATATTAATATTGAACATGTCAATATATTACATATTGATGAGTATATATATGACTATATAAAGATCAAAATTTACAAGGTAATCTTCTCTTTACTGGAGAGACATATCACATATGCATCATCGATCGATCGATCTCCATATGTAATTTGAGAAGCTGTACGCCCTGCCGCCATGGCTCCATCTCATCATCATCATCATCAAGTTATAATCCTACGTTTTCCCCATAGTTCGACGAGATTAATGAAGCTGCGGGGCAGACATGCATGTTTCATGCAAAGCAGCAAAACGCTAAGGAATCTCAGCTCGCTCGCTGCAAATTAAACACAATTCATGGTAGCTAGCTAGCTCTGTGTCCAGCAGTTCAGAAGCATCACTTTCCGGACAGACTCCTCATCCACCTCTAATTTCCTCCTCTTCAATTCTCCGTCGCCGGCGCCGGCGCCGACAGCCTTGCTCGGCCGGAACGCCCGGAACGCGGTGCAGTATTTCGAGCACTGCTCGGTCTGGGTTTCCGTCGCGGCGATACTAGCCACCGCCATACGACAAACTCTGCTAATGCAACTCATAATGTTCAGTTTATTACTGTCTCGATCGCCGAGAATTGATACCAAGACTTTCACGAATTTAACGTTGTTTTGAAGACGTGAAGTGCAGATATGGCGGAAAGCGGGGAGAGTTGTTTATATAGGAAGATGCAGAGGATAATCAGGTGGCCGTGGAGGGTGGTTTTGTGAGGAAAAGCCATGGTTTTGGAGGAAATCCGACGGCTGTTTCATCACTTTGTGGCGACTTTTTGTACTTATCGTATATTTATGGGTGAAAAATGTGCGCATAATTGTGGGGGTGAAGTAATGGAGTAAGCAGGTCCCCCACAACAATAATCTTGGCAAACAGCCCACAGAATTTCAAAACTTGAATAGTTGAATGAAACATTTCAGCTAAATTTTATCTATAATTTGGCATAATTTTTGTTTTTTAATAAAAAATTTTACAGCTAAATAAGTACTTGTAAATCAATGACATCCCTGTAGTGTCAGTAGTACTAGGGTGTGTTTAGTTGATGGGTTTTGCCCATAGGAATGAGTATGAAAGTGATTGTTATTGTTTGGTTGATATGTTTTTAGAACACTATTATAGGTTTCGAATACCCCATCAATTGAAAAACTCATACCCAAATAAAATAATGGTTTCATTCCCTTATTCATTCTCAAGCACTACTATTAATAACCATTCTCATTCCACCCAACTATCAAACATGTTAAATACTTTCACAAAAACCCATTACCATTACCAAGTATTTGATACCCATCCCGATTCTAATTCCCATGTGCGAACCAAACACACCCGAACAAAATTTACATGTAGAATTCTTTTAAAATAGATTAACCTAATGAATTCGAATGGATCAAACCCACAAAAAATTATGTTACTGTAAGATAAAAAGTTTACAAGTAGAATAAATAAAATGAAGAAATAATCAGTAATCCAAGCTTTTCCTCAAAAAAAAAAATAAAAATAATCCAAGCTCAAATGACCCATATATCATACAAGTCCAACCAAGGTGGACTGACTATTAGTCGGTTGGGAGTTGATGACAAATAGAGGAAGGTCAAAGGAGAGTTGATGATGGTTTGAAATGGATACCCCCCCTTCCTTTTATACTACTATTGATAGAGCTGTCAAAACGGGCTCAACTCGACGGGTTGGACCCGTTTAACCCGTATTTTGGATGGGTTGGGTTGGAGAATTTTCAACCCGGCACGTTTAACCTGTATCCCCACCGCCACTCCCACCCTCAAATTTATTGTGTAATTAGGTATTGTATTAAATATTTAAAAATAGAGAAAATGGTCAAATAAGCCCTCAAACTTTACCTAAAAAGTCGATTAGGCCCCTAAATTTTTTAAAGTAGCAATTGAACCCATCAACATTGTATTTTGGTGTAATTAAGTCCAAAAACCGATTAGTGACCTGCTATCACAGGTCACTAGGGTTTTGGTCAACATTCCGGCCAACTCCGGTGATAATTCTGGCAATAAAGTTCTACAGTTGCCGGTGAATCAACGGAGGGTTGCCTTCTCCTCCGTTGATTCACTAACGACAGTTCTACGCTCGCCGGTCACTTTATTGTAGGAAATATTGCTGAAGTTGACCAGAATGTTGACCGGAACGCTAAGTGACCTGTGAAACCTGTGATAGCAGGTCACTAATCGGTTTTAGACTTTAAAAAAAAAAAAAAAAACCATCGGTTTTAGACTTCATTGCACCAATATACAATGCTGATGGGTTTAATTGCTACTTAAAAAGTCTAGAGGCCTAATTGACTTCTTAAGTAAAGTTTGAGAGCTTATTTGACCAATTTTTCTTTAAAATATTGTTGATAACCAAACTTAAACCTTGACCATTCATTTAACTTATCACTATTGAAACCACCTATGCTAAGGATACATATCAATCGTTATGTTGTGCAACCGTGTGCACCATGCATGGTGCACACAATTGCAAAACGACGTCGTTTTGACTAAAAACGCGCGTCCCACTTAAAAAAAATTAGTTTCGATTCCCCTCAATAACATTATGTTGTTCATTCATTCTGGATTTTTAGTTCATTCATTCTGGATTTTTAGTTCATTCATTCTGGATATTTAAACGGAAATCGAAACTGTTTTTTTTTTCATTCATGCTGGATATTTAGTTCATTCATTATGGATATTTAGTTCATTCATTCTGGATTTTTAGTTCATTCATTCTGGATTTTTAATTCATTCATTCTGGATTTTTAGTTCATTGATTCTGGATTTTTAGTTCATTGATTCTGGATATATAGTTCAAATTATGCACAACATAATGTTATTATCGAGAATCGAAACTGATTTTTTTTTTAAGTGAGACGCGCATTTTTAATCAAAACAACGTCATTTTTGCAACCGTGTGCACCATGGATGTTGCAAACGGTTGCACAGCATAATTTTCCCCACTTACCTAATTGGATTCCGCTCTAGCCAAGCCCACCTCATCTTGTCTAATTTGACTCCCTCTAGCGAAGTCCACCTCCTCTTTACCTAATTGGATTTCATGCTCCATTAATTGCCTTTTACATATAAAATTTTAAATCTATTTTACTTTTTAAGACAGTAAATATTACTGCAATAACGATCTTAATTCTCGAATTATGACAATGAGACAAACACCTTTTCCTTTAATTTAGACAACAAAAAAGTTGAAGTCCATATATGTGTACATCATACATTGCTTGCCTTTGACAACAAAAGATGTCCAAATAACAGATGCACATACCAGAACTATGGCCATTTTATTTTCTGGCACCATTAACTAGAGAGGAAGATTTTCACACCAAAATTATATCACAGAAGGGGGAAACTGTGCCTCCATACTTTCTACATTCTATACATTTAATTCATAGCAAGTTTGAATTATACTCTGCAGAAGTTTCCAGTTGGAGTGCAAGATTCTGAAAGACACCCCAGGCCCCAGCTATCTATATCGATTCTACAGATCCAGCGTTCTGTTGAGCTAGGTATCGTTCTCTTCGTTCTTTCTGCAAAAAACAAAATGAAGTGAGCATAGCTTTCAAGGAAAAACAGTCTCGAGTTTCTTCATGAGTCGATCGATAAGGTTGTTCAGTAAAGTGAAAAAAACAATCTTAAAATCTTAATCCTAGGTTTCAAGGAAAAAGGATCTCGAGTTTCATGAGTTACCCATTCATCAACCACAAGTCCTTCGCCAATAAACTGTGGATCTGCATCTTTTGCTGGCTTCTTGGAGGCCTCAGCAGCAGCGTCGGCTTCAGCCAGCTGGCGCTTGAGTTTCTCTAAAGCCTACAAGAAATCCCGGGGGGCGAGATTAAAACAGCATATCAAAGTCAATTATTTTCGAAAGATACACATTTCCATATCGAACTAAAAG